AGAAATAGATTCAATGTTAGCTGAAATTGATACAATGTTAGCTAAAATTCAGAAATAAATATCAGAAGATGGGTCCAGAATAGTGACGTGAATGTTGCTAGTCTAGAGAATTTTCGCTAGGCCCTCATATACGTGAGACTCAAGTTGTTCACTGTTTTCCTAATACTATTCTTGAAATCACAATTGAGAGATATATTTTTATATTAATATTTTTTTTTTATAATTGGCAGTGTCGAAGTGAAATAAAAATCTATGAAGTATATACCCTTTTCTTCACTAATCGTTCATGATTGCCAATAGATCGATCGGTCCTTAGTTCATACTAAATAATTCTGAATGAATAGATCGCCAAATCCGAAATTGTTTTTTCTTGATCTATAGATCAAGGGTTTGTTAGTCATGAGGAATAAATTATATAAATAAGCTAAGTATAAGAAATTTTGCTCTTGAATATGGCTACTAACCCATGCCCATAAATATCACATATCTTGAAATACTTGCATTAAATGTTCTTAAAAATTTATCTCCAGAAAAAATTGCAAGTGATATTAATATACCTGAACTAGATCCATATTCGTTATGCAACCAAGAACTTTTTTTATATGAAATAAAAAAACCAATTACTTTACTTACCTGTGGCCACTTATATCATCGTGATTGTATCGAAAGTTCTATTAAAATTAGTCCAAAATGCCTGAAACCTGGTTGTATGAAGGAGATAGAATCTGTGGTCAAAATGCCTGAAAGTCAGAATATCAATTTAATGGAAATATCACCTACGATATTTAAAAGCCCTCTGTTTACCCAGAGTAATACTTTAAAAAAATATACTAATGATCCCAAATTATTTTCGGATAAACCATCTAACAAAAAAGCAAAGCAGATAAAAAAAGAATTGCTTATACTAAAGAAACTTATAGAAGAATTATCTACCGAACCTAGTACTCTGCAAGTTCTTGTAACTAAAAAAGAAAATGCAAATAATTTTGTTGATTTGTACAATAATATAATCTATGCAGAAACTGAAAATGAAATTATAAATCGGGAAGTTATAACTAGCTATTATCTTTTCGATAAAGCACTTGAGGATAAGTATGACCATTATAAAAAAAATAAACCTAAACGTACAGCTCAGGCATTAGTTAATAAAGAAGTTAGATCGCAACTTCCAAACTCGAAAGAAAAAAGAAAGGGCACAAAAAATTTATAAATTATTTACCGAAATTGGGTTGATAAGATTCAGCGTGTTAAATCAATTACAGCTTCATCAATTTCGAAATTAAGTCAAGATGAAATCGATACTATATTAGTCCATCTTTCACAAAAATAATTTTACTTACTGCACCTTGTATCACGTGACGTTGTGACCTCGAGTCACATTCTATATAATAAATTTTCTACACAAATAAATTATATATCGAATTGTTTTCATATTAATAGCGAGTAAATAACTCTTACCCAAACATGTTGTTTGTTTTATATGATGCTGGGTCTTAGCCTTATAAGATTTGTTTGTAAACAGATCACAAACGTAAGTGCCACACACTATAGGTTTGTATATATAATAAATTTTAGCCACATATATATTATTTTTTCTGTTAACATATAACAATGAAAGATCAGAATAACATACACGTAAAGAAAAACAAATTTACTTTGAAAAGTAGTATATATTTAGAGGTTAGAAACACGGGTTTGAAGTTTGTGACGAATGCAATCGCTATTCACATCTATATTGCAAAATATGCAAAAAGTAGCAGACGGAATATATAGATAATGTGAATGTGATAGTTTCTAAGAGAAAAAGCAAAGTTTTAAGTCTCTAACTCATCTATTATACCTTAAATAATTAAATAAATATAGAATTAGCAATTCGGTAATAACAATAGCAATAGTTGCAGAATTTGTAAAATCTTATTGTGACATCGATGTCACACCTTTTCCAAGCATAAATAATAATTCGTTTTTATTTTTCCAGTAACATAGATATTTGCAATTCCAGAATTCGGTCATGAAAATTTCACATGCAGAGGCACTAAATTTATTTCGTTATGCATGGAGCTACCATATATGTTTATATTATTTTTATACAACTAAAAAGAAAAATACTAGTACAGTCCAGTGTTTTTCTAAATATGGTATTTCTAAATTTAGTAATAATCTACATTATTTAACGCTCTAACAATATTCTAGAATTTACTAATAATACATAAAATTGATTGGCTATTAATACTACCATACTTATAATGTATTCTTGAACATGTTTACTATACATTATTTAACATTTGGCATCAAAATTGTGAATAGAACATATATAAATTTGATATAATATAAACATTTTTAAACAGAAATACT